TCTCAGGTCCCTCAGGGAGCAAGGGACAGAGTTGGGTTTGGATCTGTCGCTCTTCAGCGACCCCTATGGCCCTCATCCCAGGCCATCTCTGCCACGTGTGATCCTTGCAGGGGCTCCCACGCTGCAGAAGGGAGAGCCTTTTGGGTCCCAGAGCCAAGGTCATCCAGTGAAACAGACTTGACTTTACCCTTTACAGGACTCCTAGCTCCCTGCCCACCAGGATATCTGAGAGGGAAGACCCCCCACCCCCACCCCTTTCTTCACTGCAAAGATGAATCAACTGAGACCCTGAGAGGTTTCCTTCACTGTCAAGACCAGCAAGTGGGGGCGGCGGTGTCAGGGGACCTGGCTCTGCATTGACCACCTGCGTCCCAGGCCACCCCTCCAGGAAGCTAGCGAGCGAGGGAGGGAGCGGCGTTCCCTTTAACGCCCCCCTCCCACCCCGCCCGCCCCCCTCCTCCCCTTGCAGGCAGACACCGGGATTGCACTGCCCGCAGAGACCTGCCCAGTTCTTCCTGGGAGTTTGCAGAGCGCTGTCTGGCGGCGCTGGGGGCGCCTCGGCCGGGGCGTGCGGGCAGGATGGTGAGTGGGGGGCTGCGGGACCAGCGAGGAACCATCTCGGTCTCTCTCTTGCCGGGTTCTGTCTCTCTTGGTTTCTGGGTCTCTGGATCTGAGTCCTTCCGAGTTTCTTTCCCCGTGTCTGCATCGCTCCATCCTCTTCTATCTCGCCCCCTCTTCCGTCTCTCCCCTTCTCTCCGACTCTCTCTTTCGCTGTCTCCCTCCCCCTTTCGCCTCTCCCCTCTCCCCCTAACTTGCTCTGCTGTCTGTTATCCGTGACCTCCCTCTCCCTCCGTGTCCCTTGCCCTGTTCTTGTCTGATCTTGGACCTCACCCTCTCGCCTCCCCTCCGCGTGGCCTTCTCGCTCTCCCCGAGTCTCTCCTCTCCGTCTCTGCCCCCCCACCCCCCGCCGGCCCCGTTTGCTGCAGTCTCCTGGCGCACGGATAACCTTGCCGCCGCGGCTCCGCTCCCGGCTCCGGCTCCTCCCCACCCCCCAGTCCCCCAGCCCAGGGCCAGGGCCGGGGCTCCGAATGACTGACTTAGGGGGAGGCAGGGAGTGTCCCTGGGCCTTGGGTGTGAGGGTCCCGGGACAGATGTGGGGGATAGGGGGTGCAGCCTTCTCCTTTGGAGATTCCTCTGGTACCCTCCCTGGGGGGTTGTCCGGTTCTGAGGTCCCCGTCGCGAGGCAGGGAGGCCCACAGGCGGGCCAACCTGCGCACCCACCTCCCAGGTGTGTGCCCGGGTGGCCCGTGGGCCCTGCGTGCTCTGGGCTGCGACGTGGGGGCTCCTGCTGCTCGCAGTCCCCAAGGAGGCGCAACGCGGCCGGAAGAAAGTCGTGCACGTGCTGGGTGAGTAGCAGCCGCGGACAGAGGTCTGGCCCCGCAGGGGTCTGGAAGGGACCCCCTAAATTGCGGCCTAGAGTAAGTCCCGGGTGCGTGGTGGAGGTAGGACTTCATTGCTGGCCAGGGCACCCGGCCTCGCCCACCTCGGAGCCACCTCCTTTCCGAATCCCCCTTGCAGCTCTTCTGTCTCTGGAGCCCCTCCCCAGCCCCCCTCCCTGATGACTGTTCTGTCGCCTGCAGAGGGCGAGTCAGGCTCAGTGGTGGTGCAGACCGCACCCGGGCAGGTGGTCAGCCACCGGGG